AGACTAGTTACTCTACTAAAGCTACCTTTTGATCTTAGTAGAAACAAGTTAATAATGATAAAATAATAAGTTAGGTGTTATCGGATAGTTGTTGTAATAAAGTAAATCTTTGGTTTCAATAGAAAAAAAGTTGGAAAATTAGCGTTAGACAAAAGTCATGAGACAGTTACTGAATTAAAGTAAAACCTTTGATACCAGTAGATACAAGTTGGTAAAAAATGGAAACTTTAAGGTAGTACAGTAAGATATTTGGTGTCAATAGGAATAAATTGGTAAAAATAACCCAATTAGACAAGGGTAATGTGTTATTTATGGTAGTAAAGCAAAACCTTTGATGTCAGTAGAAACAATTTAGTACAAATAACACAAGTAAACAAAAGTAAGTAAAAGTTACTGTATTTATTGTAATACATTTGATCCCAGTAGTTGTATTAAAGTAAACCTTTTGTTCTTAGTAGTACCAATATGGTAACAATAACATAATTATACATGTGTAACAGGAGAATTACTGTACTATACGAAAAAATTCCTGTCAGTAGAAAGAAGCTGGTAAAAATATCATAATTAGACAGAAGTAATGGGATAATTACTGTACTAAAATAAAACCTTTGATCTTAATAGAAAAAATAATTAAAATATCACATTTAGACAACTGTACAAGGATAGTTACTATACTAAAGTAAGACTTCTGTTCTTAATATAAAAAGGAATTTAAAATAATACATTCAGATAAATATACAGGGGTAATTACTGTACTAAAACAAAACCTTTGATCTTAATAGAAAAGGGTATTTTAAATAGCACAGTTAGATAAAGGTAATGGGATAGTTACTATACTAAAGCAAATCATGTAATAAGTGAGAAGTAAACTGGATACGTTAAACATAAAATCGGTTAAATAACAACTGCTATCTAGAGAAGGATTGTTTCAGATTAAGGAGCGTTTTCAAGAAAAATAGACCCGCTGAATCATATGTAGGTTATTCATATTATTTGTGAACTTCATAAACTAGACTGTCTTGTAAGATTAATAGTATCAGTCTTTAGCCCACTTAGCCATAATTTTTCAGACTGTGTAAAAAATGTTTATGTGAAGTTTATAATATCATTCATGATCCAAGTTAACCTTAGTTTATCAGGTTTTATGACAAAACTTATTATGATATGTTTTTTTTAAAAATAAATTCTTATAATTTTATTATAACAGGCATTAGCCCACTGAACCATTTTTATATAAAAACTACTTGTAAGGTCAATAATACGAAGAATTAACCCAATTATTCACAGATTTTTGGGTGCTGTATCAAATGCTTTAGAAATACACGAGTTAATCTACCATTAAACAGTTTAGACTTTTTTATAATTCGAAAGTTAGAGCATCATCTTGTTGTACCCTAGGGTTTAATGTTAACTGTTACGTATTAGAATTTCAACTAGCCTGACATTGAGTTAACTGACAAATTTAAATTTAGTAGTTAAATTGTACTTTGGATTTAGTAGTTAAGTAAAAGCCGATATATAGTCAGTTTATGATATTTGCCAACAAGATTGATACACACAGTTTTCTTTTTTAACACAAATACCTTCTGATGTACACACAACAATACAATTTATAATAACAGTTATTACAAATAGTTAAAACAAACAATGATTTATAAGCAAAAGTTTTACAAACTTACAAATAATATAAAGTCTGGAATTTCTTATGTATAATTCACTTAACAGGAAGCTAGATAGCTTCGTCCTTCGTTATTCACCAGCCACACACGCTGTGTTTTCCACCGTGAAGTTAGATAATATTTTCGTAAAAGTACTAATGTCCGATGAGAATCCACTGAAATTAAATGATTTGTAATGTTCGAAGTTTGTAAATGCTTCTGGTCAAATATTTGAAGTTTTCCGATTGATAAGCGTTATAACAATCGCAGTTATAGTTTACAAAGTTTATAGCACATTGACTATAGCATACTAATAATAGATACTCTTTTTCGGCGTGGTGCGTTGGTTATATTTATAGGCGTGTGGAGGCTTTCTAGAAATTTCAGTTTTACGGAACAGTACTGTCGCTAACACAAGCGTTTACGTACAAAAACATATATTTTTGAGTTTTACTCTCGAGAATCTTCTACAAATTTGGAGAATAGGCGGGAGTTTCGCAATACATATTTAACAGTACAGGCTATGTATGTTTCTAAATATTAATTTAATCTAAACGAATGTAAATATATAATAACAAATTCATTACATAACTCATTAAACACCACCTTTGCTAAGTCATTAAATTCCATCATTTGAATGATTAAACACCACCAGGTGAGTGACTAAACACTACTATTTTAGAGATTAAGCACAATCATTGTTGAATCATTGAAATCAACATTTGAGTTGTAAAACATCATCATTGTTGAGCTATTAAATACCATAATTTGAATGAGAAAGCACCATCATTGTTGAGTAATTAAGCATCACCATTGTTGAATCATTATGTAATTAAATAGCACTATTTTTGATATATTAAACACTACCATTTGAGTGATTAAAACCATTATTGTTGAATAGTTAAACACGGTCATTATTGAGTCATTCAGAACTATCATTGTTGAATCATTAAACACCACCATTCATTTAAAATAAATTGTTAATTCATGTATATATTTTATATATAAATATGTGTATTACCTAAACGTGTCTTTTATTAATTATTGTTTTTGCTGTTAAAATATGTCATATTCTTGTGTTCAAAAATATTTATCACTGATCAAGATAATGGGGCTAGAGTGAGATATAAATCTGCAATAACTTCTTCTTACGTCACTGTGATAGCCAGTGGCTGATAAAATCTCCCGTTTTATAACATACTCCGTGAACATTTATACAACTTGGTTACTTCTCACATTTCACTCTTCTGAATGAACCGTTTGTTGTAGACTTTCCCGAGAAAGAACACTTTTAAAACAAAGACAAATACACAAGTAACATGTCTAATGCAATTTATTTGGAAAAAATATTTGCTCCTTAATTTAAATTCTTCTCTTGAGAGATGCAATTTTCCAAAATAGCAAAACTTGACTTACACTCTTTTCTCCAAATTTTGAGTTTCTAATTTTTTATAATTTTATTAACATTTCTCACAGAAAGGTACGAAACTATGTTTCAATATTAAAATAAACTCAGAAAAATCCATCACTATCTGTAGTTTTATCCAGATTACTTCAACAAGTATAATTAGTCTACTTCATCCTTCAATGAATTTATCTGTGAAAGTTAATACAATCCCTTCAGTATTGAAAAGCAAGCAACATTTCCAGTTTATCTGTATTTGACGTCGGATTTTCCCTTCATATATATATATGAAAGACTTGAGCATTTAAGTAAGTTAAGGCAGAAGTAAAAATTTTCACTAAAGTCATTTCTTGCTGATTCCTTTCCTTTATTCGACAATTAAATCACAGTTTTAACTTACTTTTATCGTTCCTAACAGCCACTCATTCAAGTGAAGCCATGGTTTTTATAAATATTTTCGGGCCTCTGATGACAACTGTCAAGTACAATTAATGTTCTTGTGACGTGTTCCATCACTGGATGGGTTCTTTTGTATTATTAGTTTAGAATAAAACCAAGTCCAGTCTACGTGAAAATAACGAATTAACTTATTTCTTCAATACATATTCGCTACAGGCTACGTTTACTTTGACACAAGTTGTAGGTCTAGATTCACGAACAACATTTGAACAAATATTCCGAGAATAATGGTAAGGCTAACGCAGAAATGAACTTACTTGTAAAATTTTCTCGCTAATCAATGGAGTAACTGAATAACAGAATAGGCGCGATAACTCTAAGTTATAATACTGGGTAACTTTTCTTACACTGAAATGAATCACTCAATGAATACCCCATTACTCTTTAAGTTCTTATTCACTTGCTTATTCTGGTTTTTATTATCATTTCTACACACTACGCGAAATTTCTAAATTATTACATTGTCACCATCAATATCTCCCTCTAGCAAGCATCTTAAATCAAAATATTGAAAATATAGATCACATCACTACATTGTTTCAAATGTTTATTGACTTTCATTCTCGATGTCATGGTTCAATTTCTATCCTCATGTTTAAAAATCTTTGTTTTAGGTTAATTAAAGTTTGATTCCTTTTTCATAAGCCCTGAAAGCAAAGTATATAATACCAAAATAATTCTCCATCTAAAGATTTTATTGATATTTTTATGTTAATTTGTAGGCATTATAAGAACTATAGTATTTACTTCTTAAAGAAAATATTACAAGACATTCTTTTGGAAACTAAACGACAGATGTCTCTAATATGAATCATCATCATTCATGCATATTTTGAAGATTATGATTTTCTTTGCCAAATAGCTTGCATTAATAAAGTCGTACATATTAACATATTTAAAAATATATTTTCTTCACATCTTTTTGACTATGTAGCTGGTAAATATTTGGATTACGTAAAATGTTCCTATGTTGTCTTATTCTTTGTTTATAAAAGTAAATAGCACTTTAGTAATTACTCCAAAAATTGTCATTAAAATCATAGTAGGTTTATAATTCTGAACGTTTCGGGTTCGATCCCCGCAGCACACATATCACACTGTGCAGCTTTGCACTAAAACAAAAAGTTATGTTGCATCTTTTATGCTCCGTATCATTTGTGACTCCAGCTAATCTTAAAAAATTACTTAACAAACATATGAGATTTTCATAACGTATGCCAAATCAACTAAGGCATTGTATCATCGAAACTAATGCGATTATTCACATGATAGTAATACATACTATTGAGTTTCGAATTAAAGAGCAATTACAGGGTTCTGCTTAGGAAGTGCTCTTTTAAGTTTAGATTTGTTTGCTTTTACGGTGGAACACGCAAGCACAATAGATCATCCCTTATTGGTTGATCCCCAATAGACATTGACCGACTCTCTGCGCCTTCTAACGATGATTGTTTGTGGTCGATCGGTGAAACTGACGAGCTGCCAGACGCCTGCAGACAGCACGTGAGTTAGAATTACAAGTAATTTCAGGTGTGCTACTGTTGTGATGATTTCAACCTAAACTGATGAGGTTGCTTTTGTCACAGAAAGTTACTCAATTTCTGATAAGCATTTACAGACTCACCAGTATTCCTTTGCGCTGTTTCGTATTTATTGAATGATATTTTACTGTTGAGAACTGCAGGTCTTCCAATGAATATCACCGATCATATGATTTTATGGATTTGGATTCTAACAAGTGTCAAAGGTAGGACAAAATGAAATAAAGCTAAACTGCACATAGTTTTAATAAGTGTCTATTGAAGAGTATTTTTGTGAAATTTGGTTTGGAAAAATAAAGTGACATTAGAGCTATATCAAATTTATAGTGTGCCAGCAAATTTTGAAAAATTCTTGGTAATTTTTCATAAACATAATTGTATATAAGTAGCTAAGAATTTGTTAGCGCTATTTCCATAATTTTTGTCAAACATATAATTTCTTGATTTTTGGTTAATCAATTCCGGAATATTGCAGTATACCGAACATTTGTGAAAAATAAGCCGTTGTCGTAATTCAGTGTCAGATTTTAAAGGTAATTCTTATAATATAGTTATAGTTTTCCAGAGATGTTCTCACAATGAATTGCTGGTCGTTCTCATAGTATAGTGTTAGACTTCCACAGTCGCTCTAATAATACAGTGATAGTTTTAAACAAATGTTCTCATAATGCAGTGTTAGATTTCCAGAGTCGTTCTCATAACACAGTGTTAGATATTCCCAGCCGTTCTCATAATGTAGTTTTTGAAAAGTTGTTTTGGTGTACAAAACTTGAAGATAGCTTTTCTATGCGAAAACATCTGTTAGCTGAGTTCTTGCACAGATCATAAAATATAACGTTGATAAATGAAAACATTGGCACATGTAGATACGTAGATCTTGAAAGTCGAGTTGTTCAAAACTTGAAAATAGCGTTGATAACTGGACCAACTGTTGGTTGAGATGTTGTAAAGGAAATATCTGCTGAAGCTTTTTGCCAGACACTAATTACAGCAAAACCGTCTGGAAAATGATCTATAGGAAATAGTACAGCTTATAAAATGAGTCAGGCCAACGTAGGCCGGTAAGGCAATCACTGATAGGCATGTCCTTTAGCCAATCAGGAAATTTCACAGACCTACTGAAGGATGTGTAGATTGAATAGGAATTATTTTTGGTGGCAAAGGACAGGTTTATGTGTTTTAATAAAGGTGGCTTCCAAAATATAGAGATGAAAGGTCGACCGACCATTTTCAATAATTTCAAACCTGCTATCCGTGTAGTTGTCAGCACAAGTCGGTATCACTAGTAAATGCTGGCCAATCGCTAATTCAAATTTTGGTGGTAGAACTTTTGTTTTACAGGAGCGACATGGTAAATTCTTTACTTTCACACTCTTAGTTCTTATGG